CTGGGCCGACCCTCCCTCGGAAAACTGCAGCGCAGTCGGGGGCTGGGGTGGGGGTGGGGCGAGCTCGCTTCCCACGGACCCACAGACCCAGATCCGGATGCGCGACCTCATCGCACCGGGAGCAGTCTCATGGCCGGACCGCCCGGCATCCATGTGGAAACCTACCCTGGTCCATTCTGTTGGGTCACCCTGACACCCTGTCCTTGGCTGGGACATGCCCAGCTCTGGGCCTCACTGTGGACCCACGGTGGCCTACAGCCCTCTCTCCCATGCAGGCACACACTCTGACACGCTCAGCTCCTTAGGTGCACATACAAAGACGGTGTGGCATGCTACATGAACACACATGAACACATGAAGTCCCTCACATGGGTGTGCAGGCTGGGAAGGGAACCTCCTTGATCCTGGACTTCAACTCCTGCTCTGCAAACTGAGTGCCTGCCTCAACCTCCCCCGCCCGGAGCCTCCTGGGGCTGGTGGGCGGGAATGAGGAGGACCGAGGGAGGGGGGCAGGGGCTGCCCTCCCTTCACCCCTGCTCAGCTTGGGGCCCTGGGAACCTGGACTTTGAGGGGGTGGAGGCAGCCCCCAAACAGGAAATGCCTCTCTGAGCTCCTGCTGCAGGAGGGCAGGGTGCCTGGGGACGGACTGGGCCGCACTCACGGTGATGGGCCGGGAGGGGACCGGTTCGAGTCCATGTATGGGCACGGGGCTCACAATGACACATACACGTGTATGTGACACGGGCGTCACGTGTGCGTGTGTGTGTGTGTGTGTGTGTGTGTGTGTGGAACCCTCCCTGCCCCCAGGGCCTGCTATGTGGGCCTGGCCAGGGCCTTCTTCCAGCCCCTCCTGGAGGCCTGTGGCTGAGCCCATCCCCTGATGGTCCCTGGGGAGCTGGTTGGCTGCTTAACCCCTGCACGCCCACTGCACTCTGAGCAGACATTTGAGCCGCTACCCTGGTCCAACTTCCCACTCAGCCACAGATGTGCTGTGTGACCTGAGGGAAGTCACTGACCCTCTCTGGGCCTCCATTTTTCTTATTTACAAAACGAGATAATGTGGCGTCCTGGCCTTTCAGCTCCCCGGTGGGGTAGCATCACAGTGTTTGCAGTTGTGCCTGGTCAGCTGCAGAGCCTGAAGCAAATGTTGCCCTGTCTTCTGAGGAAGTCCGGGTAGGGGTGGGAGCCCACCTAACAGCCCCTGGGCTGGCCTTGCAGCCCATGAGAGCCAGGGAGGAGGGCGTTCTTACCCTGTGCCCTGGGCCCCAGGCTGAGCAGGGGTGAAGGGAGGGCAGCCCCTGCCCCCCTCCCTCAGTCCTCCTCATTCCGGCCCACCAGCCCCAGGAGGCTCCGGGTGGGGGAGGTTGAGGCAGGCACTCAGTTTGCAGAGCAGGAGTTGAAGTCCAGGCCCAAGTGATCAAGGAGGTTCCCTTCCCAGCCCGCACACCCATGTGATACCACCAAGTGCTCCCTGGGGCACTGGCCATTCCTGGCACCTCTGCCCCAAGGAGGCTGAGAGTTAGGTGGGCAGAGAAGGACTCTTGAGGACGCACCTGGGTGTCCAGTGTGGGGGGATTCCTGGCACTCGCTTGTCCACCCCTGTTTGGGAGAGGTGGGTGTGAGGCTGCCCCGCACGGGGTGGGCACAGCATCAGGGATCTGGGTGTGAGGAGCCAGGGAGCCAGATGCCGACCTGCAATCCTATTCATTCCCTCACCGAGTCTGCGGTTGTGAAGCAGGGAAATTCTCCCCCTCTCACAACCAGCGTCAATGTAGCACTTCAGCCTTCACTGGCTCAAGCCCCAAACCTCGAGGTCATCGTTGTCTCATCTCCCTCCCACACCCCATGTCCAATCTCACAGCAAAATCCCCTTGGCGGCACCTTCCTAACAGATCTGGGATCCAGCTGCTTCTCACCACCTTCTTTGCCACCAGCCAGGCCACTGTCATCTCCTATCCCACTTCCCACAACAGCCTCTCCCTGATCTCGGCTGCTTCTTCTGCCCTCTGCAGCCTCTCCCCACGACATCCAGCCCGACGGGTGCTTCTAAAATCTGAATCAGATCAGATCCCTCTGCTCAGAACCCTCCCAGGCCCCATCTCACTTGGAGGAAAGGCCAAGCCCTGGCAGTGGCCTCTGGGCCTCTGTGATCGGCCCCCAGGCCTCTCATTCCCCCTGCTTCCTCCTCTGCTCTGGCCACTCAGGCTTCCTGCTGTTACTTAAGCTCACAGTCTACCCCAGGGCCTTTGCTCTGGCTGTTCCCCCTCCTGGCCGCTCTTCCTGTGATAGCTGCCCACTTCCCTCAGGTCTCTGTGCTCAAGTCACCTCCCTGGGAGCCCCCAGGCCCTGGTCTTGCTCCATCTTCCTCCTGCGCACTTATCATGACCTGACAAAGTAGACAAGGTATAAACAAAGAAACAAAAAACCTAACTCACTGTCATCAAGTTGATTCTGACTCACAGCGACACCCCCTTGGGTTTCTGAGGCAGCATCTCTATGGAAGTAGATTGCCCAGTTTTCCTTCCAAGGAGTGGCTGGTGGTCCAGTTAGCAATCAAATGCTTTAGGCACTATGCCACCAGAGCTCCCCGACAAGGTATATGCTTACTTACTGCTATACTTATGGCCTGAGTCTCTCCAGCCCAGTGTTCTCAATGTGGATGTTCGGGTCGGATCATTCTTTGTTGAGGGATCTGGGCTATGTGTTGTAGAATGGTTAGTATCAACTGTGGTTTCTGCCCACTAGACACCTGTAGCATGTCCTCAGTTGTGGTGATCAAAAATACCACCAAATGCTCCCTGGGGCACTGGCCATTCCTGCCCTAGGACACTGTTAGCTCCGATGGTGCAGGGTCATTGTCTTACTCCTTGCTCTGCTCCCAGGGCCTAGGAAGCTCCAGGCCCATGGCTGCCGCTTCACTGGGAAGGAGAACTACAGGCTCTTGCTGGTGGTGATGCCGTGGGGAGCTGGGAATTTGCTTGCAACCAAAGCCCACCTGTTCCGCATGAAATCAGACCAGCCCAGACCTGAAGACCCCTGAACATCAGCAAGCCTTTTTGCAAATGGAGAAACTGGGACCCAGGGGGTCTCGGAGCAAGTTGGTCCCAGAGGCAAGGCCTTCTGAGTCCTGTCCCAAGGCTCTCTGTGCTGCGACTTCCTGAGGAGCCCTGGCAGCGAGCTCCTGATGCAAAGGCGTGCATATGGGAGGAAGATGTGCCAGAAAGAAGGCCCAGGCCAGGGGAAGGTCCTGAGACAGCAGCGCTCAGGACGTCTGGAGAATGCAGAGGGCTCCACGCACGGACCTGGGGTGAGGGACATCTACAGGGACAGGAGAAGGCATGAGAGAGAATTCCAGAAAGGCGTTGGGGCCGGGCTTGGAAGACACTGAGCCACCCCTAAAGGCTGGTCCTCCATTGTGGAGGCCTGATGAGAGATCTCTGGGCTGGCGGGTGGTGGGTGGAGGGGACCAGAAGCCAGGGACCAGTTAGGAGACTGTTGCAATCGTCTGGGAGAGGGTTGGGGAGCTGGCTGGAGAGTCGGGCAGCAGGGCGGGCCGGGCTGGGGGAGGCAGCCTCTCCAGGCTCCTCCGGGGACGGGTGGGTGGGAGCCTGGTCCAAGGGTGTGGCCAGCCAGTCATGATCTGGACAAAGACCGGTGCTGGGCGGCCAAGGAGAGGCTGTAGGCTGTCTGGCAAGTGGGTGGGTGAGAGTGGAGGTCAGGACTCCAGCCTCTGTTGGGGTGAGGAGTTGGAGGGCAGGCAAGGGAACCAGGAGGAAGGTCAAAGGCCAAATTCCAGATGTACAGGCTGGACTTACTTGGGAATGGGAGGAAGCCAGAGCTAGGACTGCAGGGCACCTCTGCCCCAAGGAGGCTGAGAGTTAAGTGGGCAGAGAACGACTCTAGAGGACGCACCTGGGTGTCCAGTGTGGGGGGATTTCTGGCACTCGCTTGTCTACTCCTGTTTGGGAGAGGTGGGTGTGAGGTTGCCCCACATGGGGTAGGTACGGCATCAGGGATCTGGGTGTGAGGAGCTGGGGAGCCAGAAAGGGAGCTGGTTGGGGTTCTACGTTTCCTTCTAGTGGTTGAGTCCAACTCATCTTAGTTTCTCTGTAACGCAGAGAAGATGCTGACCTGCAATCCTATTCACCAAAGAGGACATGTAGGTGGCCAACAAGTGAAGAAATCCTTGGGAACATTGGCCGTTAGAGAGATGCAAATCAAACCAACTGTGAGATACCATCTGTGGTAGTTATGTTTGTGTGTCAACTTGGCTGGGCCTGATTGAGTGGCTGGGCAGCTGGTGGTAGTTATTCCCCATGGTGAGACTGGCAATCAACTCTTTGGTGGGATCTACCACAAGCAGCTGAGTAGCTACCTTTGGGATGTGGTCTGCTTCCTGTATATAAGGAGGAGCTTTGGGAATGGTCTCTAGCCTATGGCACGCTTGGACCCTGCATGTAGCCATGTCATTGCTCAGCA